TTGGTGCTCCCAGGACGTGTCGGAGCAGCACCGGGCGGGACGAGGAGTCCTCAACCCCAACCTGCTCCTGCATCTCCATGCCCGGTTTCTGGTGTTAGCTGGATGTCTCTGAGGGCCTGGAGGTGCACACTGAGGAGGAATTCTGGGCTGGGAGGGTGGGGAGGCCCTGGCACAGGTTGCCCAGAGAAGCTGTGGCTGCCCCTGGATCCCTGGAAGTGTCCAAGGCTGGGCTGGGTGGGGTTGGAGCGACCTGGGATAGTGGGAGGTGTCCCTGCCCCATGGAACTGAGTGAGCTTTAAGGTCCCTTCCAACCCAAACCCTTCTGGGATTCTGGGATTCCATGAAGCTGGATGGGATGACTCCAGGCTGAGGTTCTCAGTTTCCCAGCAGACAAATCCTGTGGGATGCAGCTCCAAGTGATTAAAGGAAAACACTGAGGTCCAAGGAGAGCTGAGAACCCCTTCCAGAGCCTGCAGGGGCTCCAGGAGAGCTGGAGAGGGACTGGGGACAAGGAATGGAGGGACAGGACACAGGGAATGGCTTCCCTCTGCCAGAGGGCAGGGACAGATGGGAGATTGGGAAGGAATTGCTGGCTGGGAGGGTGTTGAAGGTCTGGGCTGGAATTCCCAGAGAAGCTGTGGCTGCCCCTGGATCCCTGGAAGTGTCCAAGGCCAGGTTAGATTCCCATGGAGCAACCTGGGCTAGTGGAAGGTGTCCCTGCCCATGATATGAGATGGATTAGGTGACTTTTAAAGTCCCTTCCAACCCAAACCATTCTGTGACTCCACAAAATTGCCAAATTCGTGCACGAGCCCCTCTTGCACCTCCAGGAAAACAGTGGGATGGGAAGGAAAAAAGAGAATTACCCCAGCATTATCATCCCTCTGGGGGAGGTTCTCATCTCCAAGGACATTGGCCTTGTGTCCTCAACGACGTCTGCCCTCATGGAAAGGCACCTCCTGGTGTTCCAGGGCGCTTGGAAAGCAGGTTTTTATTTGAAGGAAAAGGTATTATCCCAGGTTTTTGAGGCCCAGGGGAAATTCGTCCCTGGATTTGAGCTTTTTGAGGCATTTTGAAAGCCTTTTGGCACGTGACGATGAGGGGAGAGCTGAGGTTCGGACATGAAGGAAGGTGCCAAGTGGGAAACACCAGAAATGATGGAATTAAATTAAAGTAGATGTTCACAGTTACTGTTTCAGGTGATAATGGGAGTGCAGCCTGTGGGATTGGCTTTAAAGGGATTTTTCCCTCATTGGCTGCATCCAGCAGTGGAACTCCCACCCATGGAATCACTTTTTTAACGGGATTCGCTTGGCTCCATCTGTGCCCAGAAAAGTTACAGTCATGATTTTATGTCATTTTTATGGTGCTCACCCTTTTTTTAGATGCACAGAATGGTTTGGGTCAGAAGGGGCCTTATTTATTAAAGCTCATCCTGAATTTTTAAGGAGCGGAAAGCGGATGAAGTGACTTTGTTCCCTAAGCGTGGACAGCACCAGAGACCTCAGGGTCTCAGTTACTGACTATTCCCTGCATCGTCTCCTCTCTCCAAGAAGATAAATAGAAACCAGGAAACCTACCCAATTTTCGGTGTCATCTTCCAACGTGGTTCCTGGAATTTCATGGAGCATTTGTGTCTCCTTCTTTAATCCTTCAGTGCAGCAAGTTGTGGACATAAAAATGCTGATTATTTATGTCACAGCAGCAGCTTTTTGTCCAAGTGTTCCCCCCCAAAAATTACTGAGGTCTCATGTGTTGGATTCTGGCAAAGATTTGGTGCTGGACAGGGAATTTGTTGGGAAGAGGAAGATCCAGTGACGTAGTGCTGGAGTTGCTGCTGTTGTTGCTCCAGCTGCTCCAGGCTCTCCTTGCGAGTCCCAGTTACCTGGATTTTCTCAGGAGGCACAAATAGCAGTGGGAAAGCTGAGCTTTAAAAGCTGAGTATAAAAATGGGGTTGAAAACGGGGTTAAAGTGGGTTTAAAATAGCGCAAGTGCTGCTGAAACTTAAACATTATGTTCCCTATATATTCCTTATCTATTTTATCCCCTGTATATTATATTTCTGCATTATATTTCTATATTGTAGTTCTATATTATGTCTCTCTATTATATATTTATATTTATATACCACATTTCTATATTATATTTCTATATTATAGTTCTATAGTTCTATATTATATTTCTATGTTATATTTCAACCTTATATTCCCTGCCAGTGGGGATTTACTATAAGTAAAGACCCAAAGCAGATCACTGGAATATATTTTGTATTTTAGATGATGCATGGAGTTTAGATATTCCAGGTGAATTCATGATTCCATGTGCTGGAATTGTATTTAACCCTGTCCAAGCCTGCAACAACTTCACTGTTTTAAGTCGTATTTTTGACTCTTCCTAAATAGCTTTGCAGTAAAGAAGCGAAAATCTCCTTTATATTTTTGCTTGGAATTATTTGTGGCACCCAGAGTGAATAAACTGAGCCAGAAGTGTTGATATAAAGTGATTTATTGCAGTATCCCCATGGAAGTAATACAATGTGCAACTGAGAGTTTTTAGTGCTGGAACTGGTGGTTTTATTCTTAATGCAAAAATCAAATTAAATTGCCCCTTCAGGGCAGTAGCTCTGCCAGGGGAGACTTGGCCCTGTGGACAAGCATTATGCACGTAGATTTAAAAAATACACCTGAACATCGGCTTCATTAGGAAATGATGAATTTCACCACTTATTCCACTTCATGCCACGTGAGCACGATGCGAAATAACGAGGTTAGTTTTTGAGAGCTTCGGTTTTGTTGGGTGATTTTTCAATTGGCCAGTCGTCAATTTTTTTTTTTTTTTCTTTTTTTTCCCTGAGTGACAAAACCCCGAAAAAACCCCCTCAGACTTGCCCTGGTTAAATGGTGGCAAGTGCAGGAAGATCTGTTTGACCCGTTGATGTTGGTGGGTTTTCTGGGGCAGGGGTGGATGGCGAGCTCTGAGAAAATCTTCTAATAATGCTCATTAATATCTACGCTTCTGTTTTCCATCTGCAGTGGTGACAATATTAAAAAATGTGCAATAATAATCCAATTATCCTTATATTTTCACTGGTGCACGTAGAAGCTGTGCTGCCCCTCAGCACTAAACGGTTGGAATATCCACGGGGCGCGAACATTTCCGGAAAATCCTCTCGGCACAGGGACTGCACTGAATTCAGATTTTCAGTTTTTGGGGGGGAAAAAATGGTCCCTGATACTGTTCCAGGAGGTTGTGGCTGTGTTTTTATGTTAAAACAGGCTCAGAGGATCAGAGGGAAGCTCTTACTCACTGTCAACACCTTTCATGAACTGATAACACTCAGCCTTAAAAGATGCCCCCCAGTTCCAGTTCATGTTGGAGGCTGTTCCAAAACCCTGTTCCCGTGAGGATGACATTCCCTCACGATCTGCAGTCCTATTTCTTTCCCATTGCTCAGCTTAAATCCCTCCAGATGTTCTTTCCCCCCCACGTTTCAGTGTTTAGCTGTTTCATGTTATGTAGCCGTTATTTTTTTCCCTGCTTTCTCGTCCTTCCCTTCTTCTTGCAGGAGGGGCTGGCTGTTCCCTGCCCTCCTGCCGGCCCTGCTCTACACCCCTCCGAATTCCCAGGGCTGCACAAAGCATTCCAGCCTCACTTTTTCCTCACAGAGCGACATTTCCCAGCTCATGGTGGTTTTCCGACCTGCTTTCCCTCACCTGTGATGAAAAGCAGGGGAAGCTCTTCCTGAATCCCAAGTCCGTTTAGGGGGGGTGTTTGAGGACACAGAGTCATGGAATGGCTTGGAAGGAATCTTAAAGCTCAGCCTGTCCCAACCCCCTGCCATGGGCAGGGACACCTCCCACTATCCCAGGTTGCTCCAACCTGGCCTTGGACACTTCCAGGGATGGGGCAGCCACAGCCACTCCCCACCCTCCCAGCTGGGAATTCCTTCCCAATCTCCCACCTCTCCCTGCCCTCTGGCAGTGGGAAGCCATTCCCTGTGTCCTGCCCCTCCAGACCCTTGTAAATAGTTTCTCTCTCCATCTTTCCTGGAGGCCCCTTCAGGTCCTGGAAGGCCACAGTGAGGTCACCCCGGTGCCGTCTCTTCTCCAGGATGAACAATCCCAGCTCTCTCAGCCTTTATCCCAGTTCTCCCAGCCTTTGCTGGAATTCTGTGGTCACAGTGACGTGAGCCACACAGGTGCTTTTAGAGGACTTAATTCCACCAGCAGAAATTTGTTCTCTTCCTCTGCAGTGCCTTTGAGGTGGTGCCTTTGAGGCTTAAACCCAAAGTTCTCCGTCGTCGAAGGTTCGGTTTTCAAGCTGAGTCACCCCTTCAAGAAGGCCCCTGGATGCCTGTTTGGTTTACAGCTGCCCTACAGGCCTTCCCAGAAGGAATATCTTTGCGTCTCCTCCGCGTCTTTCCCAAACAAACCCTTTTGTGCATCAAAACGTTGGCCAGAATAGGCCTCGTGAGCGTTTTCGAGTTGATCTCCCCGAAGAAAGGGGGTTTTGGTGAGTTGGTAGGAGTCAGGCAGATGAACCTCGCTGGTGCCTCGAGTTCCCAAGGGAGGGAAAGAGGATGTAACCAACCAACCACTTAAGGCCAAGGAGTAAAGGATCAGCGTTGAGCTTCCACGGAGTGTTCCACGGGGGATTTTTCCCAGCGGCACCCGCAGCACCTGGCCCTATATAGGTTAACCCCCCCGTCAAAGAGACGAGTCTTTATGATTGGTAGGCTAGAAAATATTTCACAGTTATTCAGGGCACGGACAAAAGGACCAGAAACACAGATAAAAGGCCAAGACCTCACAGCAGTTGAGCCTTTTGTTTGAGGCGGGACCGGGCTCGGTCATGGTCCGTGGAGCTCCAGGGACAAAGGAGCCCTGACAGTGTTTGCTTTGGCTCGGGGCAGGGGGAGTTGGTTTAAATGAGTTTGTAAATGGAAGAGCGAGTTAGGATGGGTTGGAGAATCCCCCTTTTTCTCCTTTTCTCTCGCCAGGTGCCTCAGATGAGCCGCCCGGATTTGATCCTGTTCCTCATGAAGTATCTCATGGCCTTGGTGGTCGGGATTCCCTCCGTGTTCTGGGTGGGGAGCAAGAAGACCTGCTTTGAGTGGGCCAGTTTCTTCCACGGGCGCAGGAAAAAAGAGTGAGTGGGGGAAGCTGGGGGATCAGCTGGCAAATCACTTCTGCCCTCATAGTCCTGGAGGAATATTATGGTTGGTTTTTTTTTTTTGAGCAGGCACTACAGGACACAAAAACAATCCATGTTTCCACTTCACACATAAAGCAGATATTTATTTCTAAATAAAAAATAACGCGTTGATTTTGAAGATTACTTGTTCCTTTAACTTTGTGTATATGGAGGTAACAAATATGTTATCTTCTCATATTTATACGTTAGGGTTTGGGTTTTTTTTCCTTCCTCTGCCACAGTGTGTTGTGGTCAGGGTAGACTTTTGGGTTCTTGAGAGTTTTTTGGTCTTCATCGTTAAATAAAAATTTCTGTGGCAGACCACTTGTGCATGAGAATGTAACTGCACCTGCCTGTCATTTAAAACACATATTTATCTACATATATATTTATAAATCTGTATGTAGATAATATGTATGCATATTTATATGTCTTTGTATAACATTTAACATATTTTTATATGTAGATAATCTATACATATTTTATATATAACATATAACATATTTATACATATATAAGTTAACTATAGCACAAGGGATTTGAAAATACTTGAAAAAAGGGACAGTTTTGTTAGAAACTTCTCACTATCCAAAGGGGAGTGAGGGAGGACTGGGCAAACAACAGCTCAAAAAAAAAAAAAAAAAAAACCAACCTAAAATTCCTTATTTTTTCCATAATTTGATCCCAGAATCGAATCGACATTCCTCTGCCTTCAAAATATTTTTTTAGCAAGAATTCAGGTTTCAGGTGAACACCCCAACTACTCTGCCACTTTATAGAGGGAGGTGGAAATTAAAGGTTTTATTTATAAATGTGTTTTTTTCCATTCAGCCGGACCAGACCTTTAAATGGAAATCAAACACAAGTGGTGGCAGTTAAGAGAATCTGTCTCTTGCTTTTGATTTCCACTGTGCGTTAGAGCTGAAGTGCAGCTTGATAAAAGTGACAATTAGAATGTCTTGGAGCTTTTGTGAGGGTGAAGTTAATTTAGGCCAAGGTGGGGTGGCAGCCGTGAGGAGCCGTTTTCATAATAAATATTGTGTTCTAAACTGAATCCGAGCCTGCCGGGTCGCGGCGCTATCCCAGGGATTTCTCTTGGAACAACCCCGCAAACGCTGTGATCGTTCCCACGTCCAGGCTGGAGGGGCAGGCACGGGGCGGGATTAGGAAGGATTCAAGAACATGAACTTCGCTAAAATACCCAGATCCAGAGAGATGCTTCAAAATGAGGCAATTAGGGACACGACAATGCAAACACGGGGGCCGATTTGCCGAGCTGCGCCGGGCTCGTTCTGTTTGTAAAAGCAGCTCCAAGCGCTGCGATCGCCCCCGACACCGCCGCAATTAGCGTTAATTGTTCGAACTGCTTGCCTTGCTCAGAGTTGTAAACGAGAGTCGCCAAGTGCTGCAGGAGCCGGACTTCGCCCAGTCCCTCCTGAGGGATCCCAACACCCCCATCATCCGAAAGTCCAGGGGCACTTCCACGCAGGGCACCTCGACCCACGCCTCCTCCACCCAGCTGGCCATGATGGACGACCAGAGGAGCAAGGCGGGGAGCGTGCACAGCAAAGTGAGCAGCTACCACGGCAGCCTGCACCGCTCGCGGGACGGACGGTACGATGTGTGGCCCTAAAACACCTGCAGTCCTGGAACGGCCTGGGTGGGGAGGGATCTGAAAGCTCAGCCAGTCCCAGAGCCCGGTCGTGGCCAACCTGGTCTTGGACGCTGCCAGGGATCCAGGGGCAGCCACAGCTTCTCTGGGAATTCCAGCCCAGACCCTCAACACCCTCCCAGCCAGCAATTCCTTCCCAATCTCCCATCTGTCCCTGCCCTCTGGCAGTGGGAAGCCATTCCCTGTGTCCTGTCCCTCCATCCCTTGTCCCAAGTCCCTCTCCAGCTCTCCTGGAGCCTCTTTAGGCTCTGGAAGGGGCTCCAAGCTCTCCTTGGATCCTTCTCTTCTCCAGGATGGACACCCCTAGCTCTCCCAGAGCCTGAGATTCTGGGAGTCCCCAGTCTCCTTGGGAAAATGGTGTAGAAGATTGGAGAGGCCCCTCCCCTGCCTGTGTGGCCACCGTGGTACTAAAACTGGATGTTCTTCTGTTGCATCTCCTCTCCCTGTTAGAGTCTGGATTGGAGAGAGGGAAAATAAGACGGTATTTCCAGAGTCCACGCAAGTCTCCATGAGTTACACAGCGTGGCTGTGTCCAGTGCTGGTTTTCCTGCACGTGGAGCACGTGGAAAACCAGACCTGTCCCGACATCAGCTCAGTAATTTTGTGGCTGGTTTGGTCTGCGTTGCAAATCGATTTTTGTGTCTCTAAACAGCCCTGGCCCCGCTGAAGCAAAGGAGAGCCCGAGTTGCCCGCTCTGACCTGAGGTGGGGTTAAGGTTTATAGCGCAGTTTACCGCCAAGTGATTTACTCCCCTAATTACCAATAGGCTGGAGTAAGAACTGAGTTAAGAACCCTTGTGAGAGGAGCTGAAACGCTTTGCCCGGGGCTGTGCGAGCCGAACGACTGAGCTAAGCAGGGGGAAGGACTTTCCTCCCCAGAGCGGAGGGTTGGTGAGATCTGTTTACCCTCTGCCCCGAGCGAGGCGGCAACGACGGCAATAACTGTCCTTGTGTTTCCCCCGACTCAGGTACACTCCCTGCAGCTACAGGGGCGTGGAGGAACGACTACCTCACGGCAGCATGTCCCGACTGACCGACCACTCCAGGCACAGCAGCTCCCACCGGCTGAACGAGCAGTCACGGCACAGCAGCATCAGGGACCTCAGCAGCAACCCAATGACACACATCACACACGGCACCAGCATGAACCGCGTCATCGAGGAGGATGGCACCAGCGCCTGAGCCGGGACGAGCGCTCCGACAGCTCGGGGTGGTTTGCACAGCTCGTGGCCCCTCCCTCAGTATTATCACCCTCTCGTCAGGTGCTGAATTT